TTGTATATAATTCGCACCGGAGTATAAGTCGCAGTACCACCCAAACCATGAATAAAAGTGCGACTTATATTCCGAAAAATACGGTAGTTGTCAGGTTAACAACTACACTGCAAATTTCTCTGATCTGGCCAAGATTTTAAAACTTATATCAGGTTATTCATCTTGTTTTCAGATTCATTATGTACTTACTGCACCAGAGGCTGCTTAATTCTAGTCTAGAGGTTGTTTATTGTAAGAAAAATTAAGTAAAGTAAAATGATCTTCCTGCATGGACAGATAATTTCACTACTTTTACCTAATTTTCTGATTGATTTAAGTGTTTATATCTTATTTTGGCCAAGTTTTTCGTAGTGTGAGACAAGAACTCAGTCTGAATATGCAGGTTTTGTGCGTTAATCAAGCGTGAATGAAACAAAACACAACTCCAGGTCTGTTTGTGACGAAGAAACAACATTTTAACCGATCAGAAAATAGAGTAACATGGGCCCTTTAAAGGTGCACTCTGCTGTAAACTCTGTGGCTCTAAAGGGGGACAGGCGGGCAGGAAGTTTTGGCATGTCTGGCCCTCCAGCTGCAGACATCTGTCATTCCTCAGCTCAGCACTCGGTGTATTTATTTGTCCACGAGCTGTGTGTGTGTGTGTGTGCGTGTGTGTACGTGTGTGAGGAAATGGAGGACAAAGAATAGCTTTATGAAAAAAGTCCTGATTATATGAGTCATTGTGGGTTAGTCAGATAAGACGTGACAAAGAACACACATTATTATTATGATAGTTTACGTGTCACATTGTTGCTCTGGTGCCTGTTCAGAAAAATGTCATTAAGTTTGAGACTACAGTAAAAGTGTGCGGCGTAATGAGCAATTTGACAAACAGAAACAATTGCGTAACCTTTGTACACACTCCATCTTACTTTCTCTTATTATTTTTTTATTGCAGTGATCACTTTTTTAGTCGAGTCAAGCTAAAATGCTCAAATGACACTATTTTCTGATCTATTTTCTAATGTTTCTTCACCAAAAACAGACCTGGTGTTGTGTTTTGTTTAATTCACACCTGTTTAACGCACAAATCCTGCGAATTTAGGCTCTGCTCCACCTTGTGATGTCATGTGTTAATATAAAAAAGTGCTCCAGTGTTGTTGTTTTTTTTTTTTTTTTTACATGGATCTATAATAAAAACTGAATAAGCCCTTCCCCCTCTGTCTGAGCTCGAGACCGACTAGTGGCCGCTCCAGGTACTGCAGCTCCCGGGAGCTTGGGCCCAGAAAGTATTCTCCCACAGAGCACAATGTATTTTTGGGAATTTAAACTGCCCCTGTGTTCTGGTTTCACTTTGTGGAAACCGTCTGACCTTGCAGCATTAGGATTTGTTCGCTTGACGGTAGGCGGGTACTTTTTCAATTTAACCAATCGCTGCTATTTGGTCGAGACTTATGTAATGTGCCGTTAATGGGGATAACTGGTATATTAAGCTTTTCCCAAATCCCGTAGGAAGAAGGACAATAACGTCTTTCCCCTTGATAAAATTCACGAAACATTCTCTATGTTTTGGCTTTAAATCCTCGATTTCGGGAAACGTTGCCAACACAGAATGTAGGGCTCTTCGCTGATTGGCTGGTACCCGAACTTGCACTTCCGGGTTCTTGCAAACCATCTAGTTTATTCCGATTCCTGATCTAGTCACTGGAGAGAAATAAAATTGAGCAGAGGCTGCACCACCTAGTGCCTACGATTCTTTTCTATTTTTACAACATAAACTTTAAATTTTTTAAAAATCCTGAAAGCACCTAAAAGTTAGTTTTGTAAGACTTAGCCTCGCTTCACTCTGAGCCTGGTCTAGCTCCGCTCTAGCAGCTCTCGCTCTGATTGGTCCAAATGCTCCACACTGTGCACGTTACAGACCATAGACTGTATATATGTGTGGACGTAGCCAACGCTGTAGCCACCGTGTTCCAAATAGGAAGGTCGCCAGGAGTCTTTTCCGGCTCCTTCTGACTCTGGCTCCAATGGACTTACATTAGGATCTTGTCGCTCCTCTATCTGTACCTACTGCAGTGAGCCTCGTCATTTTGGTCTTAAAATGTTCGTATTAACTCGCTCTACATGATCCTGAATTATTATTTTTTCGCTATAACACAGAACCTGGCTCCAGATTCGCTCCTGTAACCGTAAGCGTCACGAGCCTTATTTGAGCGACGCTGAACGCTGTGAGTGACGTCACACTCGCTTAGTCCACTTCTTTTATACAGTTTATCTATGTTACAGACGTCACATGGAAACAAATGAAACATTTTTTGGGCCCATGCATCACTGAGAACAGACCACTGAAAACAATACACCGCCATCTTGGGTTCACCTTCAGATTTTATTATATTTCTATGGTTTTTAAACCCAATACACCTTCACTAGAATCATCTGGATGATTTCAGACCTGGAATTTCCAATCTCTACTCAACTAAAGGTAAAATGAGCTGTTAAATTGAAAACCAGCGCTTCATGACATGACAAGGTGGAGCAGAGCATTTTGAGCTTTAGAGATGTAGACAGACTAATAATAAAAGATTACTCAAACATGTGGATGAACCAAAACACAACTCTAGCTCTGTTTTTGATGAGATAACAACATTATAATATGATTTAAAGCTCACAAGAGTCAGTTTAGTATAATAAATGACCTCTAAAAGTTTGTTCTGTAAGTCAATAAAGCCCCCAATCCATTTTATTCACTGTCCTCCTGTAATCTATAAAGGCTTGTGACTCGTAAACAATGTAATTACAAATTAAAAATAGTGGAAATCTTTTTGAAGTACGCTCTGGACTTTGACAAAAACAAAAATCACTTACTGTACCAATGTTTGAGTGGTCACCAGGGAAGAATTAAAAGCAAACATCAAATACTGCGCCATCCTCTCAGACGTCGCCTAGTGGGACCTTATTCCTATTTAATTACTTTTCACTCACCAAAACTGACAAACATTTTCACTAAAGACATCTTTTCTTTGTTGTTTCATTCGCACGTTTGAGTAATCCTTTATTATTAATCTGTCTACATCTGCAAAGCTCAAAATGCTGTGTTCCAATTCGTGATGTCATGAAGCGGTGGTTTTCAAGTTAACAGCTCCTTTTACGTTTAGTTCAGTCGAGATTGGAAATTCCAGGGCTGAAATTATCCAAGTGATTCTAGTGAAGGTGTGTGGAGTTTCTTTATTGCCACATGATACAAGGTGGAACTGAATGTTTTCCGTTTGAGAGAAGAACTCAGCCTAAATATGCAAAAATTGTGCGTTACACATGTGTGAATGAAACAAAACACAACAACTGCAGGTATATTAGTGATGAGGAAACATAAACATAGATCAGAAAATAGCGTAATATGGACCCTTTAAAAGCAAGCATCAAAAAACTGAACCATACTATAAAATCAAGTCCAAATCAAAATCATCGAGTGCGGCCTTATTCTTATTTAATTACTTCTCAAAATAATAATTACTTTTCAGGAGGACTGTCTGTCAAATGCTTTTCTCCGTGGAAATGTTATTGCTTTATCTGGAATATTTTACAGTATGACATTAAACCTTTCTATCTTCATTATCATGGATTCCAAACCAGATTAAGTTACAGGTCAGATCTGTGGAGAGGCGACCCCGCTCACAGTCAGAATGTCTGTTTTTCTAAGTATTTTTGAGCTATAAAATCACTTGTAATTGAATAAATGTAAGGTGAAGAGCTGTTTATTGTTAGCCAGGCTGGAGCCACCTTGTGCCTTCACTCAATTTCATTTCTCTCCAGCCACTAGGTCAGGAATCAGAATACACTAGACAGTTCGCAAAAACCCCACAAGTGCGAGTTCGGGCACCAGCCAATCAGCGAAGAGCCCTACATTCTGTGTTGTCAACGATTCCAGATCGAGGATTTAAACCGGAAACAAAGAGAATGTTTGGTGAATTTTATCAAGGGGAAAGATGTTATTGTCCTTCTTCCTATGGGATTTGGGAAAAGCTTATTATACCCGTTAGCCCTGTTAACGGTGCATTACATATGTCACGACCAAATAGCAGCAATTGGTTAAATGATAAAAAGTACCCGCCTCCCATCAAGCGAACGAATCCTAATGTTGCGAGGTCAGACAGTTTCTATGAAGTGAAACCGGCTGATGAATCTGGCTAGTTTAATGCCATACTGTGGAACATTCCAGGCAGCCCAATGACAAATGTAGAGAAGCAAGAAAGTGACGTCTAGGGGTGGGCAAAAATATTGACATATCGATATATCGTATCGTTTAATGCAGGGGTGTCCAAACTTTTTTCATCAAGGGCCACATGTCTAAACACAGATGAAGCAGAGGGCTGATCGAGGGCTGTAGATTGATGCTCATTACAGTGAATATGTGCATGTTTAACACGTTAGAATGAGCCATCAGTTTTTATTCATGCTAAGATCCTTAAAACCACACACAAAATATTAAATATTGGCTCTATCAAGGTAGATTTTCAATACAACTTGCCATAAAAAGTAAATTTTTCATTGATGCAAGGTCATAGTTTGGACATGCCTGGTTTAATGTGATGATACAGTATCGATATCGTGGACTGTTGTATCGATATATCACCATATATTTTACTAAATTATTTTGTTACAGCTACAGTTTTGTTGCTTGTTTAGTGGAAGGAAACTTGAGATTTTTACTGTTTTGATGATTAAAATGTTTGTGTTTCATATGAACTTTGTACAAGAAGTGGTTTAACAAAGACTTTTAGTATCACAGCCATGATTTTGCCTTTATTTTTTATTGAACCGTATCGAATCGATTTGAAATATATCGTATCGAATCATAAGCTCACTGTATCGAGATATGTATCGTATCGTGGCCTGTGTATCGAGGTCTGTATTGTATCGGCAACTTCCAGTGACCAAAAAGTTACAATGTGCACCTTTAACAAAACTGACACACTTTCACTAAATTTTCTTCTGATTTTCTTCTTCTTCTTCTTCTCTTTCAGCCCGTAAACCATTCCAGTGCCGCTACTGCCCCTACAGCGCCTCCCAGAAGGGCAACCTGAAAACCCACGTGCTGTGCGTCCACCGCAAGCCCTTCGACAACAGCCTGTACCCGGACCGCCGCCTCCGCCGCTCCCACACCCCCACCACCGCCCCCCGCCAAGCCTGCCCCCCACCGCCGCCGCCACCGCTGGGCATCGCCGGGGACGACCGGGTGCCTGCGGGGCGGGACCACGTCGGCATGACATCACTCTGCGGGACTTGATGCTGTCATGGCAACGGCGCTCGCACACACACACGCTCACACACAAACTCACACGCAGACACTCAGAAACCTCGTTCTCGTTTTTAGCTTGAACTCTCGAATATTTAGGATTGTTGAAAATGCATCGATGTACATTCCAGTGTCTACTTGAAAAGCCGAAGTGAGTATTTATCTGTCGCAAAAAAAGCTGAGTATATCAATAAAGTCCGTCGTGATGTGAATGTCCAATGAAAGCGTTTTGTGGTGTTCATTTTGTCAAAAGCGTTAAGGCTGATTTGCTTGTGTTTACTTGCATCTATCACTCCAGCACTAAAGGGAAGTGTAGCCAGTCCGCCCCGAGCTCTTGTTCTTTCATCCAGTAAATGCCTCGTGTTAGATTTTCGCAAATATCTCTCCATTTCCCTTCTAGTCCACGAGGCTTGTCTATCTGTCAGGATGTGGTGCCAGATGTTGGGGCTTTAATCGCAGCAGATGTAATGAAGTAGAATACTGCACATCGGAGCCTCCATTTGTTCTGGTTTCCACTCCAGGGAGAAAGCCTCTCTCACATATAATTATTGCCCATTAACTCCTATGCTTCGTGCCCTCATGCTGGAACAATGCTCAATTAAGGGGAACCACTGAAATGGAGGAAAAAAATCAGCATTGATAGTACATTCAAAACCCCTTTTCCACTACTTTATTGAGTGAAACCAGCCATGTGTGCATATACCGGATATGTCCAGCAGGGTAAAATCGCACCAATCAACACGAGGCTGCCATGTAACCCAGGCACTGAGAACTTCCATCCAATTTTTTACATTTAAAGTTTCCAGAACATGTTTTTAGCTCTGCAACAGAAAGGCAAAGTTTGGAAGTTTTTTTTTTGACTGAAATGTGTTGCTTTAAAGTTTGTCCCGATACATAAAGGTGCATTGTGTAACTTTTCTTCATGGAAATGTTTCTCAATAAGGCATTAAACCTTTCTATCTTCATGGAGACCAAACTACACCATGTTACAGGTCAGATCTGTGGAGAGGCGAACTCGCTCACAGTCAGAATGTCTGTTTTTCTACATATTTTGAGCTATAAAACCATTAATAATTGAATAAATGTTACGTAGAGATGTTTAATGTCATACTGTGGAACATTCCAGGCAGAACAATGACATTTCCACAGAAACAAGCAGGTGACGGACCTCAACCAAAAGTTACACTGGAAAAAACTATATCTAGGTGAGTTAAAATGACTTAAATTAAGAATATTTGACTTTATTTGAGCTGATTCAACTTGACGAGTAAAATCATCTACCAGTGGAATAAGTGTGTTTTTGTTAAAGGGACAGTCTGGAATTTTGGACATAAGACCTCATTTCCTAGTGAGCCAGAGTGTTGGAGACGTGTGGAGATGTTTTTTTAAATAATCCATCCAGTCCTTGTATTTGCAGAGGTCGCTGGTGCTAGACTAGTGCATGTCAATGGCCATAGTTATTCTGCCACTAAAAACAGTCTTACCCACTCCACAAAACACCCAAAACAAATCTGTTATTACACCAGACTGTCCATGTGAATGTCTGTGTTGATAGAATAATGTTTGAAATAAAACTAACCTTGCATCACTTGAACCATCGCATGTTGAGGGACTATTTTCTCATATATCAGTCCGCCGCTGCTGAGCTTTATATCAGGAAGTACAACTCACTGCTGCTGCTCAGACATAAATCCTTCAAATACAAAGTTGGTTTTACTTCTAAAATTATTCTATCAACACAGACATTTACATGGACAGTCTGGTGTAATATTAGATTTACTTCGGGTGTTTTGTGGAGTGGGTAAGACTGTTTTTAGTGGCAGGATAACTATGGCCATTGACATGCACTAGCCTAGCACCAGCGACCTCTGCAAATACAAGGACTGGATGGAATATTTTAAAAAGTGTCTCCACACGTCTCCAACACTCTGGCTAATTAGGAAATGAGGTCCTATGTCCAAAATTCAAAACTGTCTCTTTAATTCAAGCAGCATTCAATTTTGTTTCTTATTTTAAGTGCGAAAAGTTGTTGATTTTCTTATTTTATGGAGCAAGATGTATATTCATATTTTAAGTACAAAAAGACTTGTTCAACTGGCAGATAATTTTACTTGTCAAGGTGAAATTTACTCAAATCATGATAAAACTTTATTAATTTAAGTCATCTTAACTTTACTAGATGTAGTTTTTTGCAGTGAACAAAGTGCACCTCAATTTTGATACTAAGGAATAGACTCGATACCAGAAGTGGGACCAAGTTGAGGTTTTGCAAGGCTCAGGTAAGTCTCAAGTCTTTGACCTCAAGACCGAGTCAAGTCCCAAGTCAAAGACAAGCAAGTCCAAGTGGAGTCTCAAGTCACTGGCCCATAAGTCCAAGTCAAGTCCATGTTGTCTGCTTTGAGCATCAAGTCATCAAATATAGCTTAGATTTTTGCTTTTTATATGAATTTTAAACAAAATTATACTTAAACAGTTACAATATATTTGTATATGAGTATTTATATAAGTGTTGTAGAAATGCAAATTTTTCCTTTTTAAATGTCTTGACAAGATCTTAAAGTGAATCATTACAGTCAGAACAGAAATAAATCAGATTTTAAAGTGGTAAATAACAGTTATTTTTGTCGTGCGTCTGCACTGAAATGGAAGGATCGTGTTATTTGTAGTTCCCTCTGTTTTACTATATTGTACTGTATATTACTGTAGTACATTTGAGTATCAAAGTACTTCATTTTCATCCAAAATACAAACAGAAGTGGGAGGGACATGTTCCAGTTTGTGCCTGTAAAATGTAAACAAGTATTTTCTAAAATCATAAATTTTTTTTAGCAGAATCATCAAGTCTTTTCAAGTCACAGGCCTAAAGTCCGAATCAAGTCCCAAGTCAATGACCTTCAAGTCCACATCGAGTCTCAAGTCTTCGTTCATTTGATCAAGTCAAGTCTCAAGTCCTAAAAACAGTGACTCAAATCTGCTCGATACCCAGTAAATAAACATTCTTTATTTAGACAAGAGGATGTGATTTTCAGTATTAAATCATACTCGTACTTCTTTCTTTTTTATTCCCATGTGGTTTTATATCTGTGTAATCCCTCAGTGGTCCATGGATGTATATACTCGTCTATTCGGAAAAGCTTCATTTCTGTCCTGTGAATGTGACTTTTTAGTATCGATACTTCCTCAAATTAGTATCTTGCTTCGATACTAGTTTAAGCATCGATTAGTGTCTGATTTTTGATACTTTCGGGAACCCTACTTTGAAGACACAAAAAACATGGTAAAAATAAAACGCTCATGAAGATTTTGATAGTACTGGGTCAAACATGATCACGGAGTCTGCGGCTGTGGATAATAATAATTCACATCCACCTGGAGCACAACACCTGCCACTGTACAGGAGCGAGCGTTCTGCAGTGTCATGTCCAAGTCACCATTTGTTTACATAGAATCAGCTGGTCTGCACCTTTTCTATAATACATCTATGTCAACATTTTGTTCTTATGTTATTCATTTTCCAACCATTTTCTTTTTTGGTTAGACTGCGTTTTAAAGGTGCACGAATTAGGCTACGTTCAGACTGCAGGGCTGAAAGCTCAATTTGGATTTTTTTTTGGTGAAATCTGATTTTTTTGCGAGGTCATTCACATTTCCAGTTAAATGTGACCTGTATGTGATCTCCAGTGTGAACTTTAAACGCCCCAAAAGTGTCCCGCATGTGCATTGGAGGACACGACGACGTGAGTGTGTTCAGTTTTTACAGAAGTCGCCTAAACGCTGGGTTTGTCTCCCAAAATACGGTCCTGTTCTTCATAAAATGTACAGGTTACACGTCCACAGTCGCTTCGTTTGAGTCTTTAGCCTCCTTGTATTTGTCTCACAGGCTCTTTATTTTTCGTTAACATTGGAGTCAGGAGTCAGCTCTGCCATTTCTTTGACAATCATTTCAAAAACTTCCCCTCTGATTTGGCCTGAATACAGCGATCCCCCCCAAATATGAATAAACTCTCTAACCTCGCTTTCCCTCCTTTGATTAGACTCCGAGCCTGACGTGTAGGTGGGATGAATGTGACCTGGCCGTTCAGAAAAGGATATGTATCGGTTTTAGGAGCACAAATCCAAGTGGACTGGGTCGCATTTGAAAAACAATCTGATCTGTGTCATTAAAAGATCAGATACAGGAGCATAAGGGCGAAAAAAATCTGATTTGGGTCACTTCAGGCTGCAGTCCGAACGTAGCCTTAGACTCTTGTGAGCTTTAAGTCATGTTATAATGTTGTTACCTCATCACAAACAAACCCGGAGTTGTGTTTTGTTTCATTCACACATGTTTGAATAACCCTTATTATTAGTCTGTCTACATCTCCAAAGCTCAAAATGCTCTGTTCCACTTTATGATGTCATGTAGCGGCAGTTTTCTAGTTAACACCTACTGTACCTTTTCCCTTTTGTTGAGTAGAGACTGGCAATTCCAGGGTTGAAATTATTCTAGTGAAGGTGAATCACTTCCTATATTATGACATCACAAGGTGGAACAGAGTGTTTTCCATTTGTGTTAAACATGTGTGAATGAAACAAAACACAACTCCAGGTTTGTTTGTGATGAGGAAACAACATTATAACATAGACCATAAAAGAGCTGAATATCGACCCTCTAATAAACTATTTCTCATTCCAAAGCTATAAAATTTGGTTTTCATTTGTTAATCACTATGGCAACAACAGTTCTCATTTCTAGGGATGTAACGACACCCAGATCTCATGGTACGATATTATCACGATATGCATCTGACGCTACGATATTTATTGTGATATTTTGAAAAGGCAAATATAATTGTAGATAGGACACTTTTTTGCTTTTAAAATACCTTGACAAGATTTTGGTGTGAATTATTTCCATCATAATCCCAAGAATTCAAGTAAAAAACATATTTCTTCATGTTGTCTGCACTGAAATGAATCATGGGATATGTAGTTCCCTATGGTTATAAGCTGTTGCTACTATAAAACCATGAATTTAAGCAAAAGGACTTAGTAATTCTATATATTGTGACAGACAGTGTTGGGAAGGTGACTTTTAAAATGTATTCCCCTACAGATTACAGATTACATACACCAAAATGTAGTTTGTAATGGAAACTATTAAATTACTCAAGGTGAGTAATGTAATCTGAATACTTTGGATTACTTG